TATGGTATGAAAATTTAAATCACGGTTTAATAGATTTATAAATATTTTTTGGCGATTTATAATGATTTATAGGAATTTAAAGGAATTTTAATAGATTTAACGCCTCTAAAGGTGATTTAAATAGATCTAAAATTATATAAATTGATTAAAAGACAACTGTTGTGATTTAATAAAATTTATAGAGATTTAATTTGATCTGAGCTAAGAATGTACACGGATTTAAGGGAGTTGTCCACCCCTCGGGTAATAACTTTAAACGATTTTAACTTGCAGTATATTGTGCAAAATCCAATTCTAAAACTTTATTCGTCTTCAGTATTCTTCCAAAATGCATAGGTTCCAAGATATAAGTAAAAAAACTCGGATAAAATAGGTATTATTTATTTTTTTTTAAATTTTTGCAATTTTGAAAATGTTCCGGGCCTGGCTCAGATCTAGGGATCTGCGTTTTTATTATGTAAGTTGTACTGAAGGTATTCCAGCAAAAATTAGCTTGCCCTCTCTTACATTCAAGAAGTGGGATATTTCAACAGATCCGTCCTCGTCGAAGAGTATACAGGGTGTTTCATTTCCGGTATGCCAAACGAAATTAAAATATCTCGAAAATGTTTCGAAATAAATTGGTAAAATTTTATACAGAGGTGCCATTTATTACAAGAAATTACTTTATCTAAACGAAATTTACACATTATACAGGGTCGTCCCTACGGGGGACAAGCCTAGGTTCAAAAGCCATAACTTTTCTTATTTGTCAAATTCCTAATTCTTTTTTCAAAAATCGAAATCCTTGACCATTTCTACATGAAAAAGACATATGTACTTGTTTCATTACGATATCTGCAACGGTTTTTCAGAAAAGGCGACTTTAACTTATCTTTCTATTGAAAATTAAAAATTATAAAGAACCTAGAATTCTATTTTGCCTACATGAAACAAGTGTGTATTATTTACGTAGAAATGGTCAAGGATTTCGATTTTCGAAAAAAGAATTACGAATTAGACAAAGATGTTATGAATTTTGAACCTTGGCTTGCCCCCCCGCAGGGACGACCCTGAAAACAATTACTCAATTTGGTTTAGATAAAGGAATTCCTCGTAATAATTGGTATCTTTGTATAAAATTTTATCAATTTATTTCGAAGCATTTTCGAGATATCGTAAATAAAATTCTTTTAATGGCCCTCTTCAAAGGGGCGTAGCGCCACAGGGGGGCGTTTTAGAACATGTCGATATAAACTTTTTTGCTCAAAATTACTTTCTCTATCATATGTGTTCGTTTGGCACACCGGAAATGAAACACCCTGTATTTTGCAATTCTTGAATCAGCTTTCCTGCTATTGGGCAACGCAGTCAATTGTTTCCCTCATGACTACGAAGATATTTTTTTTCTGGTACTGTTTCCAACTAACAAAGTACATTAAAATACTTAAGGCGGCGGCAGCGGTGTTCTCAATTTGAACTCAATAACTGTCGAATAACGCGTAAATCTACGTCCGATTCGGCTTTTATCTGCGAGGCAAATGGAAATAAAAATCAGAGCACGCTCTCGATGTCACCGAACAATCACCGAGATGCAGCTGTTGTGTAGGAAGGATGAAGTCGAAGGCGCAAAGAAAGGGGGCGGCATTCCGGATTCTTATGATTGTAGGTGTTCTTGATTTTATATTAATAGAAGGCTGCGCGTAAGCACAATAACATGGCATCCGGTCCGCGTCCTTCTTCCGCTCGTCCTTTGTTGTTCCTTCGGTTGCGACAGCTAACACGCGCTCGAACAATGTCCGTAAGTGCCGCGTCTTGTTTTACAATCATCCGAGCAGGACCGGTAGTTTAAGATCGGTGTCGCGCGTCTCGGATCGGCTTACACTTCCTTCGGCTGCATCTGCATTCGATTGTAATTCGCGCGAGCATCACCTGCCTCCTTGCAGAGGTTCAGTTCTGCTCAAAAACAACAATCGCGATGCGTCTCAATAGCTAAAACGTTTGATTTTACTTTAAAGTTGTCAAAAATTATTTTCAATAGCAAAAATGGATTTTTTCTTACTTTTTCCTGGTTTTTCTCTGAAATGTAACTGATATAAATCAAATAAAGTAAATACTGATTTAAACGGGTAAGTTTTCGAGTATTTTCAGCTATTTTAGGGACATTTTGGTCAAATGTGAACAGTCTGCGAGGAGTAACTCGGGAACATTTTAAGGGCGAGGTTCGTAGTGGGCGAACCTTCGAAAGATCACGCGGAGATACCCCGTCCGAGATAAAAAGCGAGTCTAGGGGCACGTCATTGTATACTAGGTGATTCCAATCTCGCGTCTCCACCATTTGCGAATTGAAGGGGCGTTAATGCGGACTCGGTTTTAACGGCAAAGTTAGCTCTGCCTTCCACGATCTCAATCAATGCATCACGAAAACGGTTTTTAAAAGATTGATGCAATGGGGCGGCGACGCCTTTCACAGCGATGAAATGTCTATTGCACTCTCAGGATTTGCATTCAGAGCAGGTTAATAACGTTCACTCAATTTCACGCTAAAAATGCGCTTACGGAGTCGCGCTTCTTTCGACGATTATTATCGAACGCCTGGAATTTCCCGGAAAAAGCCCTTTATGCTGAGGTTACCGAGAATAACAAGCGAATTTTGCGTTAAACGTTCAATACATTCGTTTTCCGACAGATGGCCTCGATTCGATGAATTAAAATGTGTAATTTAATTATTTATAGGATTTTACTACAAAAAAGCATCGCACATGTTTTCAATAAAATGCTCCATTAAAAAATAATATAGATTTTCAAAAACAATTAATAGAATAAGACCTATCTACTAAATAGACAAATTTCTACATAAAGTTAGGTTAGGCAAGGTTAAATCTTTTTACACATACCTAAATAAAATTAACAAAGTTACGGCACTGAATATTGTATTTACAAACATAATGTCCCATTCACTGGGTAGGTACTGGTAATTATGAAAGTATATTATGGGCCAAATGAACATAAAAGTTAAATGAATATAACTATATTCTTTTCGGGGTCATATTCTTTTTAATCCATTTGCTGCCTCTAGAAATGAATTTACGATACTTAGTAACCTTATTTCGGGGGATGACAGCAAACGCCAGAGGAAGAAATTTGAGATCAAATGGAAATGATGAATAGAAAACCAGAAAATAATAAATATAATAAATAAATACATTTTTCTCTTAAATTTCTGAAACCCTTGTGTTTTAAATGATATACAGGATGTTCCACCTATGAGGGATTCTTCTGTAACTCTGTAACTGTTAAATTTATAAAAAAATGGTTTTTAATAAAAGTTGTCTGGAATCATGTGGGCCATGCAAAGAAAATATTTTTAGCTTTACAGTGTGTCCCATTTCGCGTGGGCGCTACATAACTTTGTTATTTTAAACGGAACACCCTGTATATTATTGTGTTTTTTGAATTCCTTGGTTAATATTAGGTAGAGTTTATTAAATGTACATGGTGTTTACAACACACCATTTTCGAGATAATCAGCTGTTCGAGATTTGTTAGGCGACATTTCAGCTACACTTCGAAGAATGTGGATGCAACATGATGATGCTCCACCTCACAATACCGCTTCGGTTTGTCAGTTTTTACACGAAACTTTTCCCAACAGATGGATTGGGCGCGGGGGACCAGTGAGTTGGCCTTCAAGGTGCAATATGACAAGTTGCGACTTGTCTACTACCGTGGAAGATATGTAGCAGCGCATTACAATAGCATTTCAAGACATGCTGACCAATGTTGAAGTCTTTTAAAAACCGAAATCAATTGTGTATTAATCAAAATGGAGGACACTTCGAGCAACTGATGTAAATCAGCGGTCTAAGTATTCCCCCCCTTGTTGTGTTCAAAGTTTTAGTTTGTTTCGTTTTGCGTTTTGTTTTAGTTGTTGTTAGTGGTTTACTTTTGTTTGTCAAACCACTTCTTAAACATGCCAGTATATATTGGCGCTGTCAGTCCCAGGCCTAATAAAATGTGAGAGAAAAGTGGTTTTGCAAGGCCTTCTTGATGCTGTTACATAGCTACTTTTTCGGACTGTTAAAGATAATTATGGACAACCTTATATCAGTGGAAAGGGCATTCAATTTTGTATTCACCCATGACAATTAATATGGGTCATTCCATTTGACAAAAAAAAGTTTTTCAACTCGTAAGACTCTAGGTCTCAGTATTTCGGAGTCTGAATAACGTACACGTTTTGCTCACAGATGACAAGATAGAGTAATTTATGCCAAAACGAACTGTGAAAACTACAGGTTTCTAACTCTAGCGTCATTTAGAGAGCTGAATTCGTGATTTTTTTCAAAAACAACTGAATATCTCGACAACGGTAAGTTTTAAACACCATGTACATTTAACAAACTCTCCCTAGTATTAACCAAGGAATTCAAAATCGCAATAATATACAAGGTGTTCCATTTAAAATAACAAAGTTATGTAGCGCCCACGCGAAATGGTACACCCTGTAAAGCTAAAAATATTTTCTTTATATGGCCCATGATTCCAGGCAACTTTTATTAAAACCATTTTTTTATAAATTTTACAGTTGCAGAGTTACAGAAGAATCCCTCTTAGGTAATAATTTCAGTTGTGAAAAATTTTGAATTTTTTCCCTGTGGGTATATTAAATAAATACCTTGACTGACTTAAATCAAATCCAATCTGGGCATTTTGATTTTAGTGTTCCACACTGTATATTTCTACTGATTAGTATAACTAAATCCTTAAAAGATTTAACAACTTTATCTAGTTTGTAAAATAAGGTGCTAAACTGAAAAAAAAATTAACTGTCTTTTCTCAACCTTGATAAAACCACCTTTTTCTGTAAAAGATACAAATCATCTAAAGTTGCTATACGTACAAACAAAAGAGGCTTAAACCTCAATTACAACCTTAAATTTTTATCTAATTATTTTTCTACTATTTTATTTCTTTTAACAAACTTCTCTTTTCGTTTCAGGTACCTAGCGGTGCTCACCATGGCTTCCGAAATATCCACGAACCTATACCAAGAGGCTCAAAAGCCCCCCTCGCCCCCCGCGCGCACCTTGAACTTCTCCATAGCAAAGATAATGGAACCAGACAATAAAATAAAGAAAAGCGACGATAAGATGTTCGGTTTGTCATACCCCAACGCGTTCGAGTCCGCTTTCAAGAAGTACGTACCCAACGTGCTGAGATCGCCCGAGATCCTACAGAACTACCCCTTGGTGTACTACCACCCTAGTCAGCTGATGTTAGGATCCGTATCCGTCTACACCTCTTCCATGAATCAAGAACCTGGTTCCTTGTCAGCTCCCGGAGGCAGCGCCCCTCCCGTTCTACCTTACACTAACTCGAAGACCTCCCCCGGGAAGTCCCAAACCAAACCTAGTTCGACAAACCTGACGACTCCGAGCTTGTTGACACCGAAACAGAAGAGCTTCGAGTGCGGCGAATGCGGCAAAGTATTTAACGCTCATTACAACCTGACGAGGCACATGCCGGTGCATACGGGAGCAAGGCCGTTCGTCTGCAAGATATGCGGGAAGGGATTCAGACAGGCCTCCACTCTGTGCAGACACAAAATTATACACACCTCCGAGAAACCGCACAAGTGCCACACTTGCGGGAAAGCTTTCAACAGATCCTCCACGCTCAACACTCACGCGCGGATCCACGCGGGGTACAAACCGTTCGTATGCGAATTCTGCGGGAAGGGGTTCCACCAGAAGGGCAATTACAAAAATCACAAGCTCACCCACAGCGGGGAGAAGGCGTACAAGTGTACGGTTTGCTCCAAGGCGTTCCACCAGGTGTACAACCTCACTTTCCACATGCACACGCATAACGATAAGAAGCCGTTCACCTGCAGGGTTTGCGGGAAGGGGTTCTGCAGGAATTTCGACCTGAAGAAACACATGAGGAAGCTGCACGAGAGCAGCAGTACCTGCGTGGAGTCGGAATTTATATCGGCGACGACCCAGGGGTCTACCGCCGCGTCGGTGTATCCGGGCGACAGAGATATCCACCATTTCATCAGCCCTTTCATCCGACCACCGATGTCTGTCCCTGTGTACTCCACCAAGCTGTTGTGACCCACGTATTAAATCGGCTTGGGTGTTTAGGAGTTCCTTTAGATTTTCATCGGAAATGGAAGATAGACCGATTGATCGGATAAATTGATCTCTTTGTTGATGTGCAATATAAGCTGGGGCTATTCTGCCGGTCTTTACTGTCCGAAACTCTACTTTGCTTAGTTACTGATGTATAAATATGTAATTTAGTATAATATACCCGAATAAATGTTATTTACTACACATTTGTGTTCAGTTTATTTCTAACCTACTAACAATTCGACATCGAGTCACTGGAAAACACATAATGTAGGCAGTGGCGGCTCTTGACTTTTATATCGGGGAGGGAGGAAAAATTTAGGTCCAAAGTATTGAAAAATAAAAAAATTAAATACAGTTTACCAGTTTTCTTTTAAGTACCATTGAAATATAGGGGAATGTTTTTACAGTGAAAATCCATTCTGCTTTTGTCCGAAATAAACTACTCGCACCAATGATTTTTCAATAGATAGCATTACTGTTAGTCTGTCTACAATCAATTTAAACTTTCACAATCTTTTAAAAATCAAACAAGAGCAAATTACGTTTAATAAGAAAAAAAGCCGTGAATAGCTATTTGATTACGATCGGATTAAATAGAGCCAAACTGCATAGTAAATACGCACTACTCCTACTCCCTCTTTCACTGTTGGACGACGGTAACCATGACCACCAATGTAAACACTACAGATGCAGATTAAATTACAATTTTTTACTATGAAAATTTCTAAAGGGGACGCAGCCCCAGAGCCCCCCTCCCCGCACCAGCAGCCGCTAGCAACCGTAAAATTTCACGACTAAATTATTTAAAATAAAAAAATAGTTTTATAATTCATTGTTAAAATTTTCGTTTCGAACTCAAGTAAAAATAATATCATCAAATGCAAGAGTCACGATTTTCCTTGAGGAAATTGAAAAAATATCCTAATAAGACATAAAATGTTATACAGGATGTTACTAAAATATGGTATCAAGCCGAAACATGAGATTATTTTAAGAATAAAGTGATGTATTATAGACCAGGGTGGATCTTATTTGAGGTGGATGTGAGAGGGGTCAAGCAAATTTTTTCTGGATTACTTTCAGTACAACTCACATAATAAAAGTGTAGATCCCTAGATCTGGGCGAGGTTTCAAAATTGCAAAAATGTTTCAAAAATTTTAAAAAATACCTATTTTATCTGAATTGTTTACTTATATCTTAGAACCTATGCATTTTGGAAGAACATTGAAGAGGAAANTTCAGTACAACTCACATAATAAAAGTGTAGATCCCTAGATCTGGACGAGGTTTCAAAATTGCAAAAATGTTTCAAAAATTTTAAAAAATACCTATTTTATCTGAATTGTTTACTTATATCTTAGAACCTATGCATTTTGGAAGAACATTGAAGAGGTAAAAAGTTTTAGAATTGAAAGTTGCACAATATATGTTGCAAAATAGCAATAATTGATGAAAAAAAAGGCAAAATAATCAAGTTTTTTGGATAATTTTTTTAAAATATTTTAATTGCTCCGAGGGCATTCTAATTTTGGTAAAAAAAACTTCAGAGTATAATAAAACAACACACCAAATTTCATTAAAATCGGTTCTATAGTTTTCGCAAAATAATTTTTTTTTAATATTTGACAAATTTTTTTCGAATTTTCAAATTGTTGCACAGTCTCAAATAAAGCATTTAGATAATTGAAAATTTTTTCACATATAAAAGACCGCTCAACCTTTCAAATAGTTTTTGAAAAATTGAAATCTGTTGATTAGGACGACCACAGTAAATTTTTAAAGTTAACACTCTTTTTTTAATTTTTAAACAATTAGATTACATTTATCAATTTGCAATGTAGTTTTTTTTTTTCAAAATTTATAATTTTAAAGTACTTTTTTTTTGTTCTTAATTTTATCTGTATTTAACAAAAAAAATAATTCTAAATAATTTTTTTTTTTAATTTGTTTAAACAAAAATTATTTAGATAATTGTAATAATTATAACTAAATACATCATTCATATTCAGTGTTGAAATATATACGTAAACAAATTTTTTCATTGAAAAAATGCAGTAGAGTAAAATATACAGTATATTTAATGCACATAATAAACTTTGTTTATAACAAAATATGTACAAATTAGACAGTTGGCATTACGATATTCGAATTCCTTTGCTCGCGAGACATCGGATTAAAAAAATCGAAATTGGTCCTAGAAGCCGAGACAACGCAATTTTTTTCGTACCTTCGCATTTTTGAACCTCCGAATTCAGTCTCGGAGCGAAAGCCCCCCTTCCACTTTTCGTGTTTTGTGACACTTTTCGCGCATGCGAGCGACAGCTTTTCCGCTGATTTATCTATGTTGCCGATAACTTATGGATATGAAAATTTTTTCCAGCTTAGAACTCGGAAAAACGAAGCCACTGGATCAAAGATTATTGCTAAATTGTTTATAAATTAACGGTAAATGCCGATAAACTTTGACCGCTTATATCTCGAGAACCAATTAACGGAATTTAACTTTAAAAAAAAAAGAAGCGTCTTTCCGAGTAGGTACTTTAAAATTATAATTTTTGAAAAAACTAAATTGCAAATTGATAAATGTAATTTAATTGTTTAAAAATTAAAAAAAAGTGTTAACTTTAAAAATTTACTGTGGCCGTCCTAATTAACCGATATCGATTTTTCAAAAACCATTTTCAAGGTTGAGCGGTCTTTTCTGTGTGAAACAATTTTCAAGTATCTAGATGCTTTATTTGAGGCTGTGCAACATTTTGAAAATTCGAAAATTTTTTTCAAGATTATTTTCAAAAAATTATTTTGCGAAAACTATAGAACCGATTTTAATGAAATTTGGTGTGTTGTTTTATTATAATTAGAGTATAATAAAAAATTATCCAAAAAACTTATTTTGCCTTTTTTTCATCAATTATTGCTATTTTGCAGCATCGGTAATAAATTTAAACATTTTTAACTTACAGTATATTGTGCGAAATTCAATTCTAATACTTTTTTCTTCAATATTCTTCCAAAATGCATAGGTTCCCAGATATAAGCAAAAAACTCAAATAAAATACGTATTTTTAAAAATTTTTTAAACATATTTGCAATTTTGAAAATGTTCCGGACCTCGCCCAGACCTAGGGATCCACACTTTTATTATAAGCTGTCAAATTGTCAGTGTGAATAGCGTAATTACATCTTTTAAAATTTTAACGAGCGTTCCACATGAACAAGAATCATAATTTCCGAAGCTGTAAAATTTGTATGAATATATATATGCCTGGGAACATCAGGGAACTTCTTGGTCCAAATTAACTGTCAAAATACGCGTAACGCCCTGTGTGGAAGTATCGAAGTAATAAAATTACACAATCAAAATTTTATTAGGGACGATTAATTTAAAAACCTAATTGGATCAGCGCTAAAAATATTACATTGACTGTTACGTTATAAAGTAAGCTTAATATGTTATCAACCCCAAATTTTGAACTGTAACTATGAGGGGCATCAGGCAGAGAACGCTGGAAGAGCCACTTCAGATAATCTAATATCCTGAATGACAGCATCCCATGTAGATTATGAACTCGGTTTATTATATTTAAATTGGGAGCCGTATTTCGAGTTTAGCACTGTTTTTGTCTTTCATTGTTCAAGATGTTCAGAACAGTCTCTGTTTATACCGAGGTTTATACAGTTGCCTGGCTTTTGAACTCGAATTTTAAAGCTTGAGCTGGCACTTAAATCATTAAACTCATTTTACATTTTATTAAAACAAAATGATGTTTTTATTTCAGTTAATTTATATTAGGAAACTATTTGGTTGCGATTCGACTTGCCTGATTGTGAAAGAATCTGGCCTCCTTGAGAATGCAATGGTCGTACCGGCAATCTTGGAGGCTTTTAAGACGGATGTTCCATATTTGCCTGCTCAGTCGTGAAATTCTTTGATCGAGCCTATTGATAAAGATTTCACCTTAGGGTTATTTATAAACATCTACTACAACCTACAACCATGAATGGGAATGGATTTTTACTCGCCCATTGTTGTCCGTACCATTTATTTAATGATCTGTACATGATAGCGTACTGCTGTTTGCCGAGTTATTATTATTATGTATTTGTTCTGAAGATTGGAAGTTACCCGCGTTGGGCAAATAAGGGTAGGAGCCCTTTCAAAGCGGTTAGTCTTTCAAAAAACAGCGCCTAGGGTGCTTTCCAAATTTTCTTTCTAGGTATTCAACACCGCAGCAGTTTTGGCTAACAATTTGTTCTACGGGGTGTCTCATAAGTAACAGCACATTTAACCAAACTTACCTTAGTCGAAAAGTTGATCTTAAAGAGATACAGGGCGTCATTATGAAAACTTTGTTTTTCATTATTTTTAAATAATCTTTTCAAAATTGCAGACATTGCACAAATTTTGGGTATCGGAGGTTTGAGGTGAGGAATTCAAATTAGAGGGCGCCACTTTGGACACTTTTCATGTCTTTAAGACGTCATAACTTTTTTGCTCCTCGGAATATATCATTTTCGAGATACTCACCTTGAAAATTTCAAAATAAATGGAAACGACTTCCAACAGTTGTTACAGAAAGTAGATCACTTTTTTTTATTAAATGTTGATTATTTGTTTCTTATTTACTTATTTCTTTGTATTTCATTGTTTTTTATTTAAAAGTATGTCTGTCTTTCGTGTCAGCACTTAAATTGAATAATTTTTTGACGGTTTGAAAACATCTTTTATTGATTTCCAAAGCCCCCTTGGAAAAGTATGTATATACATCCCCATACAAAATGATTTAAATTCGTTGCAGTGGAAACTTTAATGGTGAATATCTCGAAAACTTGTAAGGTATGTCTTTTGCGTAGAAAAGATATAAAAATGAAAAAATATCAAAATACATTATATACTTACAGAGAAACAAAAATAGTTATAACATTTTAGAGACAATCAATAAAAAACAGCACAATTATGAAAATTTGCACAATATCT